CACATGAAAATCAAACAAAAGTTGGAAAGAATAGTAATGCAAGCCATGATGCTGTTCGATTTTTTTTCTCTTTCGTTCTTTTTGTTGGCAATCATATTTTCTCTTAAAAGTCGATGAAGTTTGTCGTTGAGTGTTGACGACAAACAGACACCTACATCTTATGTCGTAGAAAAAAACAGAAGGCACCTACTATATAAATAGAAGAAATGATCTCTGTTTAAACGACAAACAACTATCCACCATTCTCGATTGAGCAACAAACGACAATTCACAATGAATATGAACGAACAAAAATCAAAAAAAAATATCTCCAAATCAACAATTGGTACCCATACAAACACAACAGGTCCATCAATTACCATGCAATCAACACGGCACATCGCTCAGAATTATTTGATCCTCTGGCTCAATAAAAACACTGATCCAGCAAATAAAGATTACCAAAATACACTCCAACAACTGCAAAGCATAGCCAATGAAGTCTATATCTTTACACAACATGATGAATGTGTTGACTTTCTCACTGAAGTCGATAATCAAAAGACATTTCTCATTGTATCAGATACTATGGGTCAACTAATAGTACCCTTTATCCATGATATTCCTCAACTCGATACCATTTACGTCAATTGCAGTAGCGAAACCACACAAGAAAATTGGAATAGTCAGTGGAACAAAGTTAAGGGTGTATACACAGAAATGCTGCTCATGTGTGAAGCATTGCAAATGGATGTCAAGCAATGCAATAAAGACGACATATCTGTAAGCATTATCAGTGTAAATGAAGAAGATTCCAGCAAAGATCTCAATCAGCTTGAACCCTCTTTCATGTACTCCCAAATATTCAAGGAAATTCTCCTCGATATGAAACATGGTGAACAAGCCAAGAAGGATTTTATTCAATTTTGGCGAAACGAATACAAGAATAACATAGCTAAAGCAAAAGATATCGCTGAGTTCGAACTTCAATATAGTCCAGAATCAGCAATTTGGTGGTACAGTCGCGAGTGTTTTCTTTACGAGATGCTCAACCAGTCTCTTCGAACGCTCGATGGTGAGACAATTATAAGAATGGGTTTTTTTCTTGCTGATTTGCATCGACAAATCGATAGTTTACACAAACAACAGATCAGTCTTTATCATGGAAAGATCTTTCAAGTTTTTCGGGGACAAGGATTATCCACAGTCGACTTCGACAAACTCAAGAAGAACAAAGGTGGACTTATTTCCTTCAATAATTTTTTATCCACCAGTACAGATCTAGCTGCCTCTCTCGCTTTTGCCGAAAGTGCCGTAGGGAAATCCGGAATGGTGGGTATCTTTTTTCAAATGTCCATAGATACGACTAGCTTATCGACTCCATTTGCCTCTATCCGGGGACTGAGTAATTACCCGGAAGAAAATGAAATCCTCTTCTCCATGCACACCGTTTTTCGAATTGGTGAAATTCGAAAACTTGAAAATGAAAGTTCACTCTATCAAGTAGATCTTAAACTGACGTCTGATGAAGACCAACAACTGCGTCAACTCACAGAAAGTATACTAGGAGAAGATTCACATCAGACATGTTGGGGACGATTGGGTACATTGCTATTAAAGATAGGACAATACAACAAGGCTGAAAAATTATGTACCACACTACTCGAACAAACATCTGACGACGTTACTAGAGCTACAATTTACAACAATCTTGCAGTGCTAAAAGATAATCAAGGACTATACAAAGAGGCAGCATCATTTTACGAGAAATCCATTGAAATCAGGCGAAAAACTCTTCCAGAAGATCATCCTTTACTGGCTGCTTCCTACAACAACATCGGTTTGGTGTATAACTACATCGGTGACTACTCGAAAGCACTTGAATTTTTCGAAAAAGCACATAAAATCTACGAAAAAGCTCTGCCTCCAAACCACCCTCATTTGGCTACTTTCTACGGCAACATCGGTGACCTGTATGACAATATGGGTGACTACTCGAAAGCACTTGAATTTTACGAAAAATCATTTAAAATAAGAGAAAAAGCTCTGTCTCCTAATCATCCCGATTTGGCTCAATCCTACAACAACATCGGTGCAGTGTATGAGAACATGGGTGACTACTCGAAAGTACTTGAATTTTACGAAAAGTCACATAAAATCTTCGAAAAAGCTCTGCCTCCGAATCATCCCGATTTGGCTACTTCCTATAACAACATCGGTTTGGTGTATAACAAGATGGGTGACTACTCGAAAGCACTTGAATTTTACGAAAAGTCACATCAAATCCTCGAAAAAGCTCTGCCTCCGAATCACCCTCATTTGGCTACTTCCTACAACGGCATCGGTGGAGTGTATGACAACATGGGTAACTACTCGAAAGCACTTGAATTTTACGAAAAATCACGTCAAATAAGAGAAAAAGCTCTGCCTCCGAATCATCCGGATTTGGCTACTTCCTACAATAACATCGGTGGAGTGTATAACAACATGGGTGACTACTCAAAAGCACTTGAATTTTGCGAAAAATCGCATAAAATCTACCAAAAAGCTCTGCCTCCGAATCATCCCTTATTGGCCACTTCCTACAGTAGCATCGGTCAAGTGTATAACAACATGAGTGACTACTTGAAAGCACTTGAATTTTATGAAAAGTCACATAAAACCTACGAAAAAGCTCTGCCTCCGAATCATCCTCATTTGGCTACTTCCTACAACGGCATCGGTAGAGTGTATCAAAATATGGGTAACTACTCGAAAGCACTTGAATTTTACGAAAAGTCACATCAAATCCTCGAAAAAGCTCTGCCTCCGAATCATCCTGATTTGGCTACTTCCTACAACAACATCGGTTCGGTGTATTACGGCATGGGTGACTACTCAAAAGCACTTGAATTTTACGAAAAATCATTTAAAATAAGAGAAAAAGCTCTGTCTCCTAATCATCCCGATTTGGCTCAATCCTACAACAACATCGGTGCAGTGTATTACGACATGGGTGACTACTCGAAAGCACTTGAATTTTACGAAAAAGATCTCGAAATCACGAAAAAAGCTCTGCCTTCAAATCATCCCAATTTGGCTACTTCATACAACAACATCGGTCTAGTGTATAAGAACATGGGTAACTACTCGAAAGTACTTGAATTTTACGAAAAATCACTTAAAATAAGAGAAAAAGCTCTGCCTCCGAATCATCCCGATTTGGCTACTTCCTACAACAACATCGGTATGGTGTATAACAACATGGGTGACTACTCGAAAGCACTTGAATTTTACGACAAAGCACTTAAAATAAGAGAAAAAGCTCTGCCTTCGAATCATCCCGATTTGGCTACTTCCTACAACAACATCGCTGCAGTGTATAACAACATGAATGACTACTCGAAAGCACTTGAATTTTACGAAAAATCATTTAAAATAAGAGAAAAAGCTCTGTCTCCTAATCATCCCGATTTGGCTCAATCCTACAACAACATCGGTACTACATATTTCGGCATGGGTGACTACTCGAAAGCACTGTCATTCTTAGAAAAGGCACTTCTTATCAAACAAAAGTCGCTTCCACCAGGACATCCTTCAATTAAAGCAACGAAGGATAACATTGACTATGTGAAAAAGAAAATGTAACTGTAATTTTTTCTTTTTGGCTTGCTCAATAAATTTATTCACATTGCTAATCGTTTCGATTTTTCTCGGCTCATTTTGGCTTACACGCGCGCGCGACAAGGGAGAGATCCCTTGTCAATACCATAGGTACCACAGGGGGACCACGCCGGACTGGTAGGGCAATGGTCGAAGGTATGCCGTATGAACGGTAGGGACCAACGACTCAAAGAGGCCTTCCCTAGTACTACACTGCTTCGCTATGGCAAGTAAGTTTCTCTACCTATTGAGTCAGACAACATAGCTTTCTGACCCACACTGATAACATCTATAACTCAACTCATCTCATCTCAAACGTACTCATACTTATACTTATAATGACTGACAGTGTTTATTTTCTCTCAAAATAAGTTATCTCAACTCAGCATGTAAAAAATTTTTTTTTGTTCTACCTCTCAATGTTATATCGTATCGTAGCTCATCTAAAAAAGAAAGTATAATTTTAAATATAAAATGAATTAATTTACCTCAAATATAATACAATATATCATTATCATTGTAAATAATATCATAATAATAATTAACCCGGGTATATAAATACATTGTAATGCATTGTAATGATACAACTCGAGTGTATTGTTTCATGATGATGTATTCATGTTTTTATACACCCTCAGGTTAATTGATCGATGCTCATGATTTTGATTGATTTTCTTATCAATCATTCAACACATAACATTACATAATTGATTTGATGATCAATTTTTAGGTAGTGATATGTGTATATTTTTTTTTCTCGTCTGACGTACATTAATATTATATCGTCATCGACGAAAAAAATTTTTATCTTATATATACACTGTGTGGGTCGAACACTTACATTTAGAGAAATCAACGATGAGAACAAAGCCTTTAATTATACTTCAAAATTTATCTGTAATATTTTATATGTGTTTTTTTCATCATACAATGATGAATTCACTCGGTTAAATCGAAGATTAAATTTGAAAATAATAGTTTTTTTCTTGTTAGACTCCTCTATTCTGAATGATAAATGAAAATATTTTTTTCTAATATTCTTTTATTTTTAATTTATTTTTCTTTCATCTTATGTCATAGGATTTTTATTTTTAAAATATCGTCTTCAAAATGATTAAAAAAAATTGACGTCTCTCTATACATGGGAGAGCAATCTAGAATTATTGATCCGACGCTGGAATTCGGTGAGAAGACAGACTTTTCTATTATACAAATATGTACAAATAGACTGAAACTAAATAAAAGGAAATGTGAAGTGGTATCATCACTTATTGTTTTTGTTTTCCTTTTATAAAAAATTTAAGAAACTTTTATTTTAACATAGTGAAATAATTTCTCAAGTGTACTTATTCATAAAATTGCTTCGAAATATAATAGTGATCAATGAATCGAAAGATATTTTTTTATATGATTCATCTTGATATAAGGATCTAAGACAAGTTAATTTATCAATTCGAATTTTGTTTTTCATCAAAATTTTTTCTTTAATTATAAAAACTGATTCATTGAATTCATTAAACTTACTATCATTTTCAATCTTGATGCATCAATTTTGCATAAAAATTATCAAAAGCTAAAAGATTGACACGTCTAGAGCATTTATTTCTAAAACATATACAACAAACTATGAGTTATAGTGTTATACAATGAAAAAGTTAATCATTTCGTGATAAGTAAATGTTCATCTACATACTTCAATAGTCACGAATTCATCTCAAAATAGTTTCCGGATGATGGAGTATATCATAGTTCTGCTCTTTAAACACTTTAACATAATTGATTCATGTCTTGTTGTTTTCGTTATCAGTTTGCCTTAATTGAATGATGAAAATAATTGTTTTGCTTGTTAGAGACTCTTCAAAGTAGATCTTGTTGATAAAATCGATTCGAATAGTTGAATCATTCATGAATGTTTTAATATTCGTGAATGAAGAAGGTAATTACTTCTAGGTTACCTGACAAAGCACTATCTATGAAGTAATGTCATTTGAATAGAATGAAATGAAGTATTTTCTGAGCTTTAATATGGATCAAACTAAGAGACAATAATGATAATAGTACAACATTTGATGAATATATTCATGTATTTCTCATTATGTTTCTCTCATATAAAAATTATTCAACAAATATAACAATTTCACCATTTTGTTTTCATATTATTTAATTTTTTTATAAAAATTCGATGTTCTTTTTTTTTGATTACATGTGAAGAAAGAGACATTACATAAAAAAGAAAACATACATTCTTCAAATATAGTTTTATTTTAACATGTATTTTGAACTACATGTTTTCTATTGATAATAATTAGAAAAAAGAATTTTATCCTCACAGTACGTCAATTTCGTTCATTGAAAAATATCTCTGAATTTTTATAAATAAAATTATGTATAGATTAAATATTTGAGTCTGCAAAAAAATCTTAGTAGTAATAACAAATAAATTAATGAATCACATATTTTTTTTCTCATTATACATATACAAATGGTTTTTTTATTATGCTAGAGAGTGTAAGTGAATCTATGGAATATGAACGGGATTTAAACAAAAATTGCAAACCTCCTTCGATTAAATGATATTGTCCTTATAATTTTTATGAGAAATTTCTACTAATAAAAAAGCTTTTAATAAAATATTTATTAATATATATATGGATGTTTTTTTAATATTAATCTCTTTATATATCTTGTTGAGTCTGACACTGCACTGTTTTTCTTCAACATGAATATAGGCAATTTATTAGTAACAAAAATAAAAGAAGATTACAATAGATATTTTATTGATTTCATCAAATTGGTAAATTGACTGTTAAATCAATTGTCGTAATCAGTTTGAATAAAAGATTCTAGTTGCTTTGATTTTTACTTTGGAAAAGGAACAATGCTTGACCTTTTTACCGTTAGAAAAGAATAATTAAGAAAGTTCGTTTATAGGAAAAGATACATTTTCGATTAGAAATTTAAAAACTTGTAATTTTATATAATTATGATCTGATAAATACTGTTGAAAGTTATCCATGTAAATTTTTTTTTTGAGAGTGAATCGAATGAATCATTTATTGCTTTTGATCGAAAGCAATCTTTTTACTTTCCTTCTTTATCTATCTTTTGTTTTATTCAATATTTAATTGTAACACAGAAGATAACAGAGGAGTGTGAATCTAAAGAGCTCTCCTTGTTAATTGATACCTAAATACTTTAAGGATTTTTATCAGAACATTATTTAGTGCTCATTAAATTAATTTTCTTTATGTTTCAATCTATCCTCGCCTGCTGGAGGTGTAATAAACACCTACAGGGTCCTATGACTGCATAGTAGAAATGGGCGGCGCCCCCTGGGCTGTCAGTAGCCAAATAATCGTACTTTTAGGCCAGCCCCCTATTAGTAAGATATAAAACTTTTCTGGCTAACGAACAAAATCAAACCAAATGCATAAATACAAGTAGACCTACATTCTTCGGTGGATGGAATGTGCGATCGTGTCTTCGAAAATCAAAAAGAGAACTTATT